CCAAGACTCGAGGACCTTGTATCTTATGTCAGTTTTGAGGTCTTGGCCGGAGTACAAGAAGAGCGGCTCATACGTCACTGTCATCGCCCTCCTCATCATCGAACTTGCGGCGGGTGGTACCGACGATGGGGGAGGCAGAACCGCTGGCGCTGCTATCGCTCTCCTCGTCTTCTGTGAGGGTAGATTGTGGTTAGCCAGGTCCTAGACGCAATGAAGGTCTCGCGAGCGTATTGTGGTCGTGTATGGCTCGGTATCTGCTTGGCAGGGAGAAAAATGACATTTTGCCGCGGACCGTCTGGGTTTGTGTGCGCGCGCGCGCAAAGCCGGTGGTGATGGACTTACCCCACTGTCTGGCAGGCATGATGTCAGTTTTGCTTTGTGTAGTTTGCGGGCGCGTGTCGAGTATGGCTGCGTTTGGTGACGAAAGGCTTCTGGTGAGGCTGGAATAGTATCGAGGGCGAAATTTCGTTGGAGGTTGGAGGGGAAAAAAGTTGAGAGAAGGGCGAACGTAGGTTTTGGCGTTCAAAAGGCGAAAGGGGGCGGAGAACGTAGGCGGGCGGGAAGGGGCGTTTGGGCAGGGAGGGTCCGTCCGGGCTAGGCTTGGACAAAAGGCAGGCGGGCGACAGGCGACAGGCGACGGACGGGAACGAGTCGGAAGGCGTGACCCCAAATTCAGGGCAGTGACTGTGACTGCCTTGTCTACCTGACCTAAATGGCCATGCGTCCTTGCCTGGTTTGGTTGCGACCGTGACTGCTGCAGCTGAAGCAAAGCAATTTCCTGCCGATGTGAGTGCGCGTCAACGAGGCCAACGAGCGATCGGGGGTTCATCGACAGGTTTCACTTTCAGACCAGATATTCCTTCCCCTTGCCGTCATTGTGTCTCCCATTCAGTCTGTACAATGATACGCCTATGCTCGAGGTTGAACACGACACATGGCATAGCCCAGCACTGGCTATACAGTACTTACTGCCCGAAGCGAAGAAATGCAGATGCCCATGCTTATGCCATGCCCATGCCCATGCCCATGCCCATGCCGTACCCATCATGCCTTTGATCGACGTCCACCACACGAAACCGCACGTTGACCTACCAGCGTGATCTGACCAACCACCACGGTCTCGAAGTACGACGAGAAAACGAAGGAGGGCGGTTTGCAAATGCATCACCACCAGAAGAAACAATAATCCACCTGCCCCTCACTCGGAGTGGGAAAGGCGCGCAAAAGGCCCGCAGGGAAGGGGATTTCTTCGAGTTTTGGACGGAGGCACGGTTCCTTTCGACAGCGAAACTACGTCACCTCGGCTGGGCTGATGACCCCTCCAACCCCTCGATCAACAGTGTCCTGTTTTTTTCGCTCCCCCTGCACAATGACAGGTTTGCATGTGCCTCTGGGCTAGGTTTGTTTGTGCGCGCGTGCACTGGCGGGCTGCTGCAGCAAGGTGGCCGGGCTCCACCAGGCCAGGCACGCTTGCGCTCGATTGCTTGCATGGGGGGCCGCTTTCGCCGACCAGTTGTGCGGGATGAAGGAAGGGGATGGAACCTGTTCGCATGAAGGCCTGTTGAGGCCAATCTCCAACGGCGGTTTGTGAGCGCATCACGAAGATCATGGTGTTTTCGACTCGATGACCAACCCTACGTACTCGTGCCCTTCTACTCCCCTGCAGCCTGTGAGGCATTGTTCTCGACTGCCAGAGTGCTTAGCCCTATCGAACTCGACCGCACAGCCCAATCAGCCTGTGTTGCTGCCTAAGCCTCCCCAATGAGGCCAAATCTCACGCCTGTATCTACAGCGCAGTGACTCACTGATGCAAGCTCGGACCTTCCGCTCCACACTCGCTGATTGCATTGAGCGCCTTGGCTGCAGGACCCATCTATAAATTGCTCTGGTCACCCCACCCCTTCTTACCCTTCTTTTCCTCTTTCTCTTCTTTATCTGAGTGCAAGGGCTTTACGCGTATCAGTGAGGATTCGTCCGAGATCGTGTTTTTGCTAGTTGAAAACTATAACCTATGACCACTCCTAGTTGGCTTCGGCTGGCTAGGGAATTTTTGACACGTTTCTCTCGATGGACATTTTCCACTTTCATTGCTCTTGGTCTGCGGACCACAGCGAAGAAGGTCGTATACGTGACCGCCGTGAACGGTCTGAATGACAGCCAATTTAATATGCTGACAGGAAAGATGACGTGGAGCTGGTCTCGTTCTTTGCTTCGGCCTCACTCTCACTGCATGATGACCATAAATGCTGCACAATGTCCTATTCGCGTCGATCCTCGTTCCCAGCGAAAGTACAGCCAACCAATATTGAATGACAACCCGTGAGGCCAGGTACACCCACGGCCGCTTCATTTTCGAGGCCGCGCAGCGTGTGTGTTATTCCCGCCATCCCGAACCGCCGCGGGGCCACGAGCCTCCAGAAAGCAGTGACACGACTGCTCCCATTTGCGCTGAATAACCAGCCACTGGCGGCGTCGTGACCCCGTCATCAAACGCCGAAGAGGCCCGGGGCGACTCGATCAGGTCAGCGAAAATGGCCATTCCAGGCGCATCCACCAGGACCAGGAGGAGCGCCATTCGCGGTCGCGCGACCAGCACGAAAATAGCGCGGAAGCCTCCCTTTCTGTGACAGGCTATCCCGGCACGTCCCGACAGGAAACAAGAGTCATTCGTCGCATACTTCCCAATATGGCACTGCCACTAAACCTTGGACGGCGACTGCCAAATGGCATGGTCGTTGTTCCCGTGCTCGGTTCGTATCGAGGCCATGTTCTCTGGCGCTCCATCTCGGGGTTTGACAGACAGGAGAAAATTCTCGATTTGCGTCAGAATGGCAGACCCGGCCGTTCTTCGTGCCCACGTTCCTGGGTTGTGTTTTCGATGGAGCCTCATGACCTGTGAGGCCTTGCAGTCTCCATCTTGGGTAGGACAGAGGCTTTCTACGGTGACGGCGCGGGCGCCGTATATAAGTCGTTGAGCCTCCTCGAGCATCGTGCTGGCTGGACTATCGTACACCATCAAGACTTACATCATCATTCAATATCATCCTTGACTACCCATCTTACCTAAACGGCACATCATACTACGTCCCATACTGTGTTGTCAAAACCAACACCCATGCTGTCAACAAGAACCTCCACCAAGCTCTGCGCCCCTCGGCAAGCGGCCCAGCTAGCACGAGCTGTTGCCCTGTCCAGCACCAGCAGCAGCCATATCGCCTTCCTCGGCCACCCAGCATCCCTGCGAACAACGACTCTCTACCACCCCTCCTCCCAGCGCAACTTTTCGAGCACCCCAGCCTCCCGCCTCCGTGACTTCTTCCCAGCCAAGGAGACGGAGCAGATCCGCAAGACGGCCCCGGCATGGCCACACGAGGGTTACTCCGAGGCCGACATGCTCGCCGTCGTGCCGGGCCACCGCGCCCCTGAGACCTGGGGCGACTGGGCTGCGTGGAAGTTTGTGCGCGTCGCCAGGTGGACGATGGACCGCGCAACGGGACTGAAGCCTGAGCAGCAGGTCGACAAGAAGAATCCCACCACCGCCGTGGTGGCCAATGAGCCCTTGACAGAGGCACAGTGGCTCGTACGCTTCATTTTCCTGGAGAGCATAGCGGGAGGTACGGAACCCCTTCCCCGTATTGGCATGGCATGGAACAACCATCAGCTAACATCCAACCAAACAGTCCCAGGCATGGTCGCTGGCATGCTCCGCCATCTCGGCAGCCTTCGTCGCATGAAGCGTGACAACGGCTGGATCGAGACGCTGCTCGAGGAGTCTTACAATGAGCGCATGCACCTGCTGACCTTTATGAAGATGTCGGAGCCGGGCTGGTTCATGAAGGTCATGCTCATCGGTGCCCAGGGCGTCTTCTTCAACGGCATGTTCCTGTCGTATCTCGTCTCGCCCAAGATCACGCATCGCTTCGTCGGCTACCTCGAGGAGGAGGCCGTGCACACGTATTCGCGCTGCATCCGCGAGATCGAGGAAGGCCAACTGCCCAAGTGGTCGGATCCCAACTTAACATTCCCGACCTGGCAGTGCAGTATTGAACATTCCAGAGGGGAAGAGGACGATGCGTGATCTGATTCTATACATCAGAGCTGATGGTCAGTACTTTCTTGGGGCAGCGGTCTTCGCGAATTTCTTGCTGACAATATTGGCAGAGGCTGTTCACCGCGGCGTCAACCACACGTTGAGTAATCTCAACCAGAACGAGGACCCGAATCCCTTCACCAGCGAGTACAAAGACGGTCACAAGCCGGCAGCAGCCCTCAAGCCGGCTGGGTACGAGAGGGCTGAGGTCATCTAGGGACTTCACTGGCAGGTTCTCTTTGTCAGTATCGGAAGGAAAAGGAACCAGGGCAGAATTGTACAACACGAACCGATGATACCATTAGACTGGGGGGTTTGATGCTTTTTTTAGGAGTTAGCCGCTGGACGTACCCTCCTCCGTGTAGAATATCTGCAAGCTGCCATCATTAGATGGCCATGATCAAGACTTAGGGATGGCCAATTGGTCACCACTTCTTTCGACTGCTCGCATCACCTGTTACGATACACATCATCGCATCTTGGCATCGTCGTATCCTTTGAAGTCGTGGGAGAACCGATGTTGCACTGCCCGAGACGCCATCATGGCATTGAGTCTTGTGCTAGTAATCAACACTTGGCGATCAACCCCACAGATGCCAAGAGGTAAGGCAGACTTGTCCGATATTCAGCACATCTCCGCTTCGGCCCATGATGGACAGGCACCAGTGACGAGGGCGCGACGCGGGGTTGGTGATCTGCCACGAAGCCGCAGGTCCAGACGCAAAGATTGATTGGGGGATCGACATTTATCTTGGCAGCACTGCCCGAGCATCTACAAGGGGCGATAACGCGGTCCAACAAAACACAGCGCGATCTGCCACATGGTTCGACGGATAATGGCTGTCCAGGTGTGCGTTGCCGTAGTCATGAGTAGGAAATCGTATACACGGCGGGCAGGACACGGCCCGGGACGAGACCAAGGAGATGCTTCATCAATCACCAACATTGCCCCTACCGCTACCCCGCGGCAGTTATGGCGTCGGTTCTATAAATAAACCCGGGACAGGCAGGTGGGTGGTCGGCTCGAGGAGAGCTTCAGGCGACATGCAACCCCGCCACAGATCAGGCCACGCCGTGCCGGCCGTCTCTAGGGGAGGGGCCGCGTGGGACGGCCGAATCACGTAGCTCGACGAGTTGTCTGAAACGTGTCGGATGGATCGAAACAAGCTTAAGTTGCATTGGCCAGGACACGGCGGGTCGCAAGAAGCTTCACGACGAAGATGCCGACCGACATAAGGGCCTAGGAGACATTCGGTTCCCGGCTCACGATACTGGGGGTTGATGGGAATGCTGGTGAGGTCATCGCCTAGTACGTAGGCGGGCCGCGAATTGTCGGGGCTGTGCAGACTCTGAACAACTCAATTGCTGGACTCTGGACTCGGTGAGCAGTTGACAAGCGGTGTACAACCCCAAGCTCGAAAGCCCGGCATTACATGTTGACGCAGATGTAGTAGGAGGGTTGGCTTGGTGAGCAGCTCGCTCAGGTAGTGAGGCTTGGGGTGTGTTGGTCTTTGTAGGCTTGTACCAAATGCATATTCAAAAATACAACAACATGGATTGATCTTGGGTCAACATGCGAATGTCATCGACGGGGGTGTGCATGCCCCGTGGGCTGGTGTTGCCACAGACGCCCGCTTTACCCAGCCCAGAAACTTGGTGCTCGGTGGCCAAGCTTGGAACCTGAATTCAGTTGAGGCTAATGACTGTGCCTCCCGCAGGTTGCGCGTGGCGAGGCACCAAAGACAGTCGATTGGTGAACGAGGAAACGGTATCATGCCAGTGAGCAGGGTCTGCCACGACACTACAGAGTTCATAGACAACGCTGCATCATGTGACTGGCCATGGGTACGGAGTTGGGGTTTCCAGAACGTACCTCATCACCTACCTACCTACCTGCCTTAGGTACCTACCTTACACAGGCAGGCAGGCCATAAGCGCTGCGTAGTGTCATTTCGGACGGAAGGCATGGATGAAGGGACAAAGCAGGCGCACAGGGCCCCTCCCGGCTGTTCCTGCCTCGTCTCGCCTCATCTCACTACACCACACGGATGGTCGATGCCTCGGGCGAGGACAAGATCGCGGGCGTGCTGGCCTGTTGTCAGGCGCTACCGTTGCCAAGGCCAGGCAATTGTGCAAGGCAATCTCTCGTCCAAAAAGTCAAAGTGATCAAGTGCCCCCTTTCACTTCCCTGCCGTGCTGCCTGCCGACCTACCAAATCCACGCGTGGACTCGTTCCATGCCAGCGCCTTGTTACTACTTTATGTGTTGTAGTCAGCGAGGTCTCGCCCTTGAGACGATGGATGGGCTAAGTCGAATGCACGGAGGCAGCCCATGTCCTAAACCCACTCATTCGCTCATATCCCATCCCACCTTGCCCGGCACGATCAAGCTCTCGACACTACCAAGACACTGACAGGGCCCCCTACTTCCTCATCTCATCTCCAAGCGCATCTCATCTCGTCTCTCACCTGAGTGCCCTAGTAGGAGGTACCGCACTGTCGAGCACATCTCTTTGACTTTCCCGCACGCCGAGACTTGTGCTCCCAACCCCGTCTGGGTGCTCTGAGGAAGAGCAGCAGGCACCTACCTAAGACACCTAGGTGAGGTAGCGAAGGTACCTTCCCTACCTGATCTTCATCCCTGCGTTTTCGACAACAGCGTATCTTGGAACCCCCCTCCGCCCGCCAGTCGGTCACAAGTCAAGTACCATCGACCCCGCGCTTACCACTACTCCCACCATCGCTCTTGTTGCACATTTCCGTCCCCTCGCAGGCCCATCGCCAGTACCACAACTGTAACGCCCTTGGCCGCTACCTAGTCATACTCGATCTATCTGCGACCCATTTGTGCGCATTCACCTACACAGTGCTTCATCAATCCAGTCACCAACGAGGCTCCAGCGCTCATCTACCCTAGGGGCCCAGAAGGCCTTGGCATTGACTAGCCCGTGCCAATCCGGTCCGAAGCAGAAGGTGTATTTCGACGTCCAAGAAAGAAGACATCATCGTGGTACCTGTCTCATCGCACTCCAAACCGAGGTGTTTAGACTGGTCTTTACTCCAACTCGCCTTGTTTCCCTTGAGACCTGATTCCTGGACCCCTCCCCCATCGACTAGGGAACCCAATACCCTAAGTACCGCGACCACCACCACTACCATTGACAGCGTACCGCGTACCTCAAACGTGCACAGCCTTGTGGGCACCATCCACTTTGGGAACCGGCGCACACTGCAGCAGAAAACCAGCAACAGAGTAGGTGACGGTGAGAAAAGGGTGGAACCCCTCCTCAGCATACCGAGCGAGCACTTGCCCACCCTGTCCCGTCACTGTTTGGGTTCATTCGACGCGACCAGCACAATCGTCAGGCGCCAACACACCGGGCTTTCTGCACCTCTGTACCCTCTTGCACTACGCTCTTGAGACGCTGCGCCAGCATCAGGAAAGTCCTTTCTACTGGCGAGTTCCCCAAATCCGCGCAAGGACGTCCGGCCGCCGCTCGCCTCGCTTTGTCTCGTCTCGACTCGTCTCGTGTCATCCGTCACCCCCGCCATTTATTCCTCCCCAACTCACACCGACGAGTCCCTAGTCACACAACCATTTCCGGCCGTCTCCCTCCGCAAAGCACCCCAACCGCCGGCACCCCACGACTTGGT